GCCATACTTATGATCCTGAGCAGTTCTATTGAGTTTTCCTTCCCTTTATCTTTCTATTCAAGTTCAAGGGAAAAAAAAGGATCCTCTGTAAACTCAAGAATAATAACCAGCTTATACAGTAAAACCTGTCTATGGCGACCACCCACGGTTCCTTCAAAAAGCAGTCTTTTAGACAGGTGGTCGTCGAATACAAGTTGTGCTGTAATATCGTATTTCCGTATGTATTTTGCGCACTTTTTTAGCAATTTCTACTAAGCAAAACTCAAGATGAACAGAAATAAGCAAATTTTTTCTATGATAGGGCTATATTGGTATTGTATTTTATCCTTATTGGATAACTCGATTTACAGGAGTCATCATGATTTTATAAGACAGATTTAATACCAATATTTTAAAGATTAATACAATAGTCACATTTTCTCAATTATAATGCACACTTTCTTTTTTCCGACTTAATTCAACTTGATTTTTTTCATTCACTCCTCATTTACGAGTATTACGTCATCGATATACAAGTGCGTTGTATCTCTACATCACTTTGGTTTTGGTATTCGTTAGTTTAATCTTATTTTAACTTTAAAAATACTGTATTTTTTTAATATTTAATATTTTCTTAAGTACAATAAGAAAAATTATTAATTAATAATAAAAAGATTTTATTATTTTTTCTCATTATACAATTTCATTACATTCTGTGATTGTCATTGTGGAATTGAAAAAGGAAGGTTGCCTGTAAAACTGATTTTTGCATTAATGCGTTTATTGTTTTTTGAATATTTTGCCTGAGAAAATTACTTGGATTTTCTAAAAGTATCATGGAAATAAGGCAGGATGATACAGAAACTATTTATTGCACATGTACAGTACTGTATATGAGCTTCAAAATAAATAAATAAATAAATAAAGATCAATTTTCATCAAATGATGAGATCAGCCAACTAATTGTATCGTGTACAATGTTTTATATCCCCAAGGAAAATACTGTAGGTCTACAATAAAATAAATTTTGTTTTCCCACAGTTAAACTTTGCCGCTAATTGCTATTGTGATAACTTTAATATGATCTTCTAACGACAGCACTTTGCATTTCTTTCATTTTTCATACAATTTTGAACAAACTAAAATGAATTTCTCTGTGTAGCGTCCTTGTAATCCAAAAAATGATTCTTGGTAGACAACCAAACAGCAATTGGTTAGGAAAACATTACGGTTTATTTAAAACAAAAAATTGTTTAATGAAATTTTTTATTTGTTATAACAATAGACATCACATGGCTGAACTAACGGAGTACATTTTGGTGGTATAATTTTAATTGTGCATGTAGGCATTTTTTCATCATCTTGGAATACTTCATCATACAATTCTGCTTTTGTTTGTCCTGTCCATGAATCAATAAGTAAAAGAAATTTATTCTTCTGAACATATGGCATCAAACATTTTGTCAGGAAATTAGTAGAGAGATCAGTGGTCAGTTTCCTGATTTTGATGATGTGACGGTAACATTTGAATATATTTTTATATATTCTTCCACGTTTCTCTTTATTCTTGGCCCAAAATTACCTGTAGGCTCTTGTAAACAAATATAAACATATGGTAATACAGTAGACCCCCTATAACGAATAGATACGTTCCACGTTATACAAATTTCACATTGTAGGAATCCTTAAATACGAGCCAATTGCAGCCTGACATGCGTGAAGTTTACGGACTACAGCTGTTTGAAAGGTTTTCTTCCATAAAATTAATTGATTCTAGACTAATTCGATACAATATTTCCAAAATATGTATAATTTTTTGGGAATAATCCATATAAACTATGCTATAAACAAAAAATTGTAGGATTACTTACTGAGTGTGCACCGATCGATGTCGCCATTGCTTAAGCTTGTCTTTGTCGCATAGCAGCGCACCAAACAGCAGCCGCGATTTCTGATAAGTTATTTTTCTGCGAAAAATTTGTTGACCTTTGGAGACATCATTAATATAAATAATTTTTATGGCCGTTGAATAAGAAATGTTTCTTTCACAAGAAATGTATAAAATCATAGTACTGTACTGTATTAGATTTATGGTACCTAATTTACATACTATACAGACGATAGTAAACTCAACTTACTCACCTAAACTCTCTGTAGCATGGCACCGGACGGCAGAAAGTATATATATGTATATATATATATAATTATGATAAAGTTAAAATAAATTAAGTTAATATATAATTATATATACAGTATCTAATTTATATATAATACTGTACAGATGATAGTAAACTCAACTTACTCGCCTAAACTCTCTGTAGCGTGCAAGTAGTTCGGCTGCTCGTCTACTATTGGTCCAGATTCGACCAATCCGGTCGCGACACGAGTCAGCGACGACGTTTTACGAGCCCCTTTTCAGCGTCTTTATACGAATACTGTTGCAATTTTTTTGCTACATTATAGGAATCTCCGTTATAGGAACTCGCATTATAGGGGGTCTACTGTAATTTTCCGGATAATGTTATACCGTATTGTGCTGTATATGTGTGTGAAACCTAGTTCATGTCTTGTGTTCTTACAAACACTGTTTTACTCCCTTTTTCTGTTAATGTTCTATTGAAATTTGATTGGTATTGATATCCTGAAAATGTAACAAAATTATGATAAGTCTTGTGGTTTACTTGGATTAAATGTAATAATGGAATATAAAGTACTTGGTTTATAGTTAAAAATTTTATATACCTGTTTGATCTGTATTGATGAAGAAATCACTATCAAAGTTTATATCAATTGTTTTGTTTGAATACGAAACGTTTCTGCAGAGGCATGGGCGTAGCCAGAGTTTTGTTATGGGGGTGCCTAGTGGAGACCAACCTGACACAAAATTGAATTATTTCAAATTATTGTTCATTATTGGGCACCGAGCAAGCCGTTCACCTTTTTTTAGTATTCAAAACTTTTATTTTAGCTTTAGGTTTTTACAAATCGACTCAACACTTTTTCGGCTGTGATTTCCTGGGGAGAGCACCAGGTTCCCTGGGAGGGGCCGTGCCCACCCAGGCCCCCCCTCGCTACGCCCATGTGCAGAGGCCTAGATATCTTCCATGGTACATGCTTCTTTTTGGTAACACCATATTTGTCAAGAAAAAATTTGGTAATTTTTTGTTGACAAATGTGGTGTCTTCATTTGAATTTATCCACCCACTGGTTTGAAGCTTTAAATTGCATATCAGGAAACTGACTAGCAGCAGCTAAAGCCTATTGCTGTAAATTTCTTGTGGTCACTTGTTTATAATTTTGTCTTGTTTGACAAAGCGATCATACGTCCAAGAATCAATCAAATGATATTTATCAAAAATAGTTCCACCACGTTCAACATCTTTTTCCTATAATTTTAAATGCTCCATTCTTTTCAAATGACTACATCCATTTTTTTTAATGTTTGTAGTTTCCACATAGGGTGGGCTTTTGCTACTTTTAAAACTTTGATTTTATATTCCAGTGAAATACATTCCTTCATTCTATATTTTTTTTTCAACAGGTACATATTCATCAGATGAGTCATCTTTAACTGCTTCGAAATTTCCTTCTGTACACTGTTCTTGGGCACAAATCAATTCGTCATCAATTATAAACTTTTTTCATTCAACACATCCAATGTATTATTGTATAATTTTGTGCCCATCAGCATAGCATCTTCAGATAGTGTATCAAAAGATGATGTCGCAATTATTTTTGAAAAGTAAACTCTCATAATACACTACTCCATCTTATAGTCGCTGCTTCGATACATCACTGTATAAAGAGTTATCATCAACAGTTTTTTCGTCACAATGTGAAGAACTTGCTTCTCTTGATGACATTTTTTTAATTATAAAATAATTTTTCAAAATAAATTTCACTGCACAAATACGTCTATTCATGTCGAAATTCAGAAACGAACTGTTAAAGAGTAAGTGAAAAAGAACTCTGAAAGAAAAAAACGTTCCTAGTGAGAATTAGATCGGAGGTCAACGTTGGTGATAACAATTAGATGGGAAAGTTGACACACAGGTGTCAAGAATGCCCCGTTATTGTCAACAAAAGTAAAAATTTTACACTTGGAATAGTAGAAATTAAATTAAAATAAATAAAAAATAAAAAAAACCAAAAAATCAATAAATAATAAAAAAAAAAACTTTACACAACAAGAGAATTGAACCCGAGTACTCAAGCATATGAGTCAAGAGCGTTACCACTCACACAGAACGAACTTAAAGTTTTCTTTAGCACTTTATAAGTTATGTGTACAAAAGTACGCATAACTTATAAAGTGCTAAAGAAAACTTTAAGTTCGTTTTTCTCAATTATTTTGAGTGTTGCACTTCAGTATTTTACAGGTAGTACACTCACATGGTGTACTACCTCTACACCAAAGATCATCAAAATCTGTTTCCCCAAAGCTGTAGGGTCTCCTTGTAAGAATTACTATATCACTCTCAAATGATTAACCTTCAAATTTTTACCTTTGAAAAGATTTCTGTAAAATATGATAAAACAAGTATATGCAAAGATAATGAAATGTTCACATAAGAGTGAAAAAATAAAAATAAATAAATTGAAATTTGTTGATATTGCAACAAAAGCAAGTCTTTAACATATATAGTCACCAAATAACAAAATGGATATACTTTTCAAACCTGTTCAATATTTTCTTAAAATAACCCAAGCATTGCTGAGTACAGCAACTAGTAAATAAACATGTATTTGTAAATTTTTATTGATTCATTATGTGATATGCAATAATCTTTCTATTACATAACTTTTGCTAAAAAAAAAAAAGCTATAACAAAATATATTCTATGAATGTTTTCTTTATGCTTATATTAACTTAATATTTTCTAACTGATTTTATTTTATTGATTTTCAATTACCATTAAATAAACCTAAATATTTAATTTCTGTTATTATTATAGATGTTTTATATTAAATACTCTAATAACTTATTTAAATAATTTATTTTTAAGGAAATTACATAATACCTCTGGTCTAACAGGGTCTTCAATCCCAACAACACACAAACATGTAAGTTCATTAATGATTTTATCTTCATCATCCCAGTCTGGTTCACTATCACATTTCACTTGATTGGGCTGTGCAGGTTTAGCAATATAATCTTTATATGCTACACATATTGTACGGAGTCCATCACATGCCATAGGTTCTATTACATTTTTCACTAATCTATCTTGGTCCTCTTGTGTAAATCGTAATAATTTTCCTTCTTTGCCAAAAATATAAGAACATCTAAAAATAAAAAATTACGATTTAATACATGTTTGCAGCTATCAAAAAATACAGAATATAAATACTTCTGACAATATTTCTAATTATTCTAATATTTCATTTTCAATGTAATTTCAAGTTATACAGGATGAAACTGCAAAGTCCCTTGTAACCTTTTCATTCCAAAATGTTAAAAATATTAATTTTGTTAATATACTTAGCTACACAGGAAGTATTGCATGGAAAATTTGATGTGACATTTTTGTTGACCTTGAAATCACTTAAGGTCATGCAAAATAAAATCACTTTTCTTCCTCATAAATTTAAATTGCAAATTACGCAATCTTAAATGTGTTTATTTAAATTCAGAAAATAGTTTCAAACAAATTAAATGATACTTTTTAACTTTGTTATTAATTAGTCTAAAACTGTTTTCTGGATTAATAAATACATTTAGGAGTGCATAACTTGCAACTTTAAATTTATGAGGAGTAAAAGAAATTTCATTTTATATGACCTTGAAAATGATAAAATTGTCCCATTCAATTCTCCATTCAAGACTTCCTATGTAGCTTTATTAACAAGATTTATTAATCTTCAATAGCCTTGGAATGAAAAGATTTCAAGGGGCTTGACTGACTCTGTATATGAAAAAAAATGATAATGATATGAAGATAACAATACTTTAATAATGTACATGAAGGATCCTATTCTTTATAGATGTAATCAATAGCCGCAAAGTAATAAAAACACAAGGCTTTAGCTATTAAAATAGATTTTTGTTCATATCTTTAACTAAAAAGTATGTTTTTACTCTTAATAATAAAAAATAATTTTGATACTATAGTCTTTATTATCAATTTTGTGCATATTTTGCATGTGATTATGATTAATTCAAATAATAGTCTTTATTTTCATATTTCATAAAAGTAATATTCATTTATATTGCTATGTACATTTTAAACTGTTCATTTTTCATAAACATTGTAACTGTTTTAAATTTAAATCAATTAAAAATAGAAACTTCATATTTCTGTAAAATGAAAAATGTTTTTAACCCTTTTAATCAAAAACCTTTATCTAAATTTAAAATTGGTTTTGTTGTTATTTATAATATCATGATATTAGCAATGCTTTCAAAAATATAATTATAATTTTGTATTTACAATAAGAAAAACAAATATATTTACTTTTTCAAAACCATTTCTGAAGCTCCTTTTGTAAATACTCTGAATCCCCCAGTCGATAAAGGAATTACAGTGCTCATAGATTTTCTAACAGAGTTAAAAGTATACACTTTATGTAACTTCTCTTCAGGTGTATCATCCCTAATAGTTTGATAGTCCTTTCCCATATCTAATACAAATCCTAACAGTGAACATTCAGTTTTATTTCCCACTTGTTTAGGAAGATCTCCTGGATTATCAGGGGGCTAAACAAAAAAGGAAAAATATTAATTATTATTTAGAAAAATAGAAATTAATATGTTTTAAATGTAACTATTATTTACTTATATTTCTAGATCTAAATGACTTAAATCTAAAAATATAAATCTAGGTTATAGTAAATACATTACATTTTCTGTTTGATGCATATAAATATAAAAAGTAATTATTAAATATGTGATATTGTCAAATGTGATAAAAATGCAAATCCTGTGGGTTCACAAACAATCAGATTTTGTTGTACTTATTGTTCAAGGTATGAAGCAAAGAAAACGCTATGCTTGTGCTAAAGTAGCACCAGAAATGTTAGTCTTTTCAGTGAAACTTTGTTATTCAATTATTGAATTATTTAGATAAATACAGATATCCCTCTGAACATTTGTTAAATAACTGTAAAAACGAAGGAATAGAAATGAATTAACTCATTAAAAAGTTGTATTTTAAGTAGAACATTATCTTTCAAAGCATACAAATACATATGCTTGTAACCTTTCAAATTATCATTCATCTTTCTGAAGAAATGTTTCTAATAAAAGTTTATTTAGTTTTTATTAGAGAATAAAAAATATAAAAGAATTTGGGACTCAATTTGAAATTGCTTTCACTTCCTCCAGAAAAGGGATGAATAACGCTTCATATTTACAGCATTAAAAAGGCTCCTCAAAAATATTAAATGTCATTTTCATTATCAGAAGCATATTTTCTAAGTTATTGACCTTTTTATGTGAAACATCCCATATAAATATATGCACGTGTGTCAAACACACTACATGGGTGAAAAGTTAATATTATGTTTTCTTATTTTTATTTGTATTATTTTATATCATTATTGTTATTATATAATAAATACAACTAATCCATAATTACTTCAAATATCAAATGAACAGCCAGATTCCTTTATCAGGCAATTATGGCTGAACAAATACTAAGCAATTTGTCAGGATGTTGGCTTTCAGGCTGCCATCTCTTGTTAAATAAAATTAGATCATTTATAATTTTAGAATAATCTGGAAGAAGAGATCTGCCTGGAGCAAGACAAACCTGAACTTCTGTTTACTGTGCAGATGTGATGCCAATTATGCTACCCAGACCTCCATCCAGTCTTCATTTTATTTATTTTTTTAACATATCCAAACAATATAAAACAGTGAAATAACTGGAAAAAAATATGCTTTTGCCATTTAATCGGTGACCATTCATTTTTCTGTAGAATTTGCTTAATGAAAAGTGCCAGTTTTTAAGTCCCTTCAACTTTGTACTAACAGTTTGACTAATTTTAATTTTTTGTTAATAAAAATTTTTTAAAATGTTAAAATAAATTATCAATTATGCATCAACTTTTTACTTCAAATTGATGTTTAGAAAATTCTTTATGGTAATCATCATTGTAAATCTGAACTATCAATTTTTCAAACAAACTACCATAAAAAAAATAATAATGCTATTGTCTATTTTTAAATGATAATTTTAAATACAAAATAATTTTTTTAGAAATTTTAAATATGGTGAATCTTAATTTTGATTTCATTTTCCAGTTCCTTAAGCTATTTCCAATGTATAAAAATAATAACTTCTCTCAATGAATCCCTTTCATTTCTCAAAATTTTAAATATATTCATTTATTAAGTAACAACTCAAATTTTATAAACTTAAAACAACTTTTTGCATCAAAAAATTCATTATATAAATCACACAAACATATTATAAATGATTATTGACTTTTAAAAGCTAATAAAATGAGAGCAATATGATTGAAATTTAATTTTAATAATGTAATGCCAATGCTAATTAAATTCAGTATTGTGACATATTTTATAAAAATGTTTATTTTTATTTTAAAATATATTATACTGAAGTAATTATTAAAATTAAAAAATTCAAAGTAATGCATTAATAATACAATTTAAAAATAGCATAACTATAGCTAAAAAATTCTGATTAAATTTGGTTTACATTTTGAACAAAGTTCAAGTTGTAGTTTTTAATGATATAATACATTAAATATTCTTACCATTACACGAGATGTATATGCACTATTTAAAGAAATAGCTGTTATAATTATATCGGCTGGTGGTTGAGGTAAATTTTCATATTTAGGTGAAGATTTATGAAGAACTCCTGTAAATGTAAATGATTTAATAATAAATAGGTTTAAATAAATTAAATTTGTTCTTATTAAAATAAATACACTATATAAATATTTGTTAGTTTATCAATTTTATTTTATATATATACAAAATTGATTAAAATGGTTATTGATAAACTGGAATGTTTCTAATTAAATTTAAGCAGATAAAGAATATCACTAAGGCAAATTGATGGACTCAATAACAAATCCAGCAGACATTTTATTAATGCAAATTCAAATGGTTGTTCCACTGAGCAGTAATACAAGATTAATGTTATCATTCTGAAAAAAGAGTATCAACTACACAACTGCTCTACTCCAGTCAATTGAACAGGAAAAAGCAATCACAGCTATCTATGAACACTGTAGAGCAGGCAACCAAATTTTTCATAAGCTGACAACTGTAATCTGTTAATTGCCATCTTGTCTCAAACAACTATCTTGTATTTTTATGTAAACTACAATTTTAATGAGGGTTTCATTTATGAACAAAAACTTTATTTAGAGACCTAAATACGGTCTCTAAATAAAAACTTTATTTCATACAATATATTCTTAAAATATAAATTTTTCATCTATTGTGTAAATTTCTTTTTGAAAAAACCTTATTAATAATTGACTGAACTACAGTATGTCCACATGCTAATACCAACCTTATAGGAATAAAAATTTGATATTTGTAACAGGAAAAATTCTCAATACATAGGACAGTACATTTATAATGTCCAGGACAAATATCTCATAAGATATGCATTCAGTTAAAATAATTGATCAGAATAAAAGTTACTTATTTTTGAAATGTCCCTTTAATTTCATAAAATAAAGGCACTTGTTTTCTTATTTGAGGTGGAGTAATGTTAAATTCCAAATGAAATCATTTTTTTTTTTTTTTTTTACCTACTTTTGGATTACTTATTAAATAATAATAAAGTTTCATTAAAAACATTGTTTCCAAACCTGTTAATTTTGAAAACTATGACATTTTAAGTCATTTCAGTTTCAAAAATAGTTTTTTCTTCTGCAGTACAAAAAATTTATTGTAAATAAAAAATAAATGCTCAAATTTTCTTTGTTTTATTTATTTATTTCGAATTACTTAATTCATTAAATATATGAATGAAATTATTTAAGAGAATAGCCATGTCAAAATAATCACATCAAAACTAAAAATATTCAGCAAGAAAAAACTTAACTAAATAATTTTTGGTTTTGGTGTGATTATTTTGACATTGTAACATCCAGTTCTACAAGTGGTATTGAGAATTGCCATTTTGATAAAAAAATATTTATTAGGACATCATAACCATTAGTAATTTCATAGACATAGATAAAAGTAATATGTTCCTTCAAGGAACAAAACAAATAAAGAATGTTATTGTAATTCTTTTAAAGAATGTTACTTTTATTTAAGAACACTTACTTCAAAGATTTGTATTCAATCATTAAAAATTCTGAATAAAAATTAAGTTTTTCCCCAATTGCATGATTATGTGATTATCTAAATATCAACCATTAAAACATTTAATCATCTTAATTATAATAAATTAGTTAATAAATTGCCTTTTTATGATCTGTTACTTTTTGAATATACAATTAAAAATGCTCATAACTTTTGAAATTAGAATTTTCGAAAAAAACTGTTATTCCTAAATGAAACACAGGGAAATCCATTTTAAATTCTATTGTTGTCCCCACCCCAATAAGAAGGCAGGGAAATGGTTTAATTTTTATGAAATTGAAAAAGTCCCTTGAAGATAAATAACTTTGTTCTAATCAAATATTTAACTGGAGGTACATTATAAATAGACCACCAAATATTTTTCATATTATTTTATTTTGTACTTGAATTATAGACAGTATGGAAAATCTATAGTTCGTAGAAATACTGAATGAAACCAGAAAATCCAATAAGAAATTGAATTTCATTAAACAAATTTAAATTAATTCAGTAGTAGTTTTATATGGAACTGTTATATGCAGATTCATATATTCATAGATAAAGATATCCATATAAATAAAAAAAGATGTATAATACTGATGATAAAACTGACATAACTACATGGTAAGTCACAAACACCGACAAACAAAATGGAAGTTTTGGTTAGAAATAAATACAATACTTTTAGAAATAGATAAATAAATAACACTCATACCAAAATTGTATAGCTTCTTGATAACAAGCACCGAGTTAAGCGTTAATACAACTTTTCTTATATTGCAAGTACTTTTGACGAGTATTATATCGTCGTCCTCAGGCAAAAAAGAACAAATTTGAAAATTAGAACGTGCAGAGTGTTCAAAGTAGAAAACGGAAATTTTTCTTGTCAATTTCTAAATTATAACGTTCGGTAATTCCATTGGTCACGTTCAACAAGCTTTTGCAGGCGTTCGAAATATCTTAAATCCACACGACTAGCAGTGCATGCGTTGAGGAGCAATCGTACTAATTGTGCGACTCTTGGCGCTTTTTGCTGTTTAAACGCTGGTATAAAGTAACCCATATTTCGGGCAAGTCGAGTGTGGAGACGTTGCATGCGTCTGTGGTCATTGTGAGGAGTGCTTCCCAAATAAATGTGATTCTTCTGTTATTACAGCTCCTGAGCAATGCTGTTTTTGACCATAACGGGTTATAGCCCTGCTGTAGAACTTTTCTGGCAAGCTCTGTGGTCTGTCTTCCTTTGTTTATTTCCTCCTGATGTTCTGTGATACCGCAAGCGAGCATTCTTGTCATTGCCCCTATATACTTCTCAATTACTAAGTCTACAAAGTCCCCGTTACTGGATTTTCCAGTTGCACTGCGTATATTCCCGATTTTTCTAAAACGTCGACTTTATCCTGATCATTGCATATGCTCCTGCGTAGGCTGGGTAGGGGAGTTAAAGGAAAAGTAAAGCTGTATCGCCAGAAAATACGGCTAATAAGTATGGATGGTGTTCCTAGGTACAGCAACGCTAATTGTACTCTAGACATTTCTTTTTTGCTATGTAGTGTGGTAAACGGGAAAAGGGAATCTTTTACCCTACGTAGTACAAGCATAAATTTGACACTTGTGAATCCAGCGTGATTGTTCTTACGATTTCCAATTCGACTTTTATTAGAGCTTGCGATGAGGGAAGTATCATTGCTCTTCTGATAAGAGCCGCTACGGCGGCATTGACATACCACGATGGTTGAAATGCATCAGCTGAAATGATGTAGGGGATCATGTTGGACTTATGATGCACTGTAAACTGCGGCTCTTCTAATGACTTCTGTATCTGCATATCCAAAAATGTTATAGATTGATCCTGCTCCTTTTCCCATGTGAAATTGAAGGTGGAATGGACGCTTGAAAGTTGCTGCATAAATTGGATAAACTCCTCTTCTGAATTTTCCCATATTAGTAGAATGTCATCTACATAGCGCAAATATAGTGATGGTAGCATATAGCAAGTGGAGCTTTTAAAGTTTTTTGTTCCACGTCTCTCATAACGAGCTCGGCTAATACTGCTGAGAGAGGAGAGCCCATGGGAACTCCTTGCTTCTGTAAATAGACTTTCTGGTTGAAGCAAAAATAGTTGTTTTCAGTGATGAAGATCAATGCTTCACGAATGTCTAGCACTTGTTAAACCGTAAAACCTTTTCTGAGGAGCATGGCATTGGCTAGCATTACAGCTTCAAATACAGGAACGGATGGGTACAAGGATATCCCGTCCATTTTGTAGAACATGCTGGTATTGCCATGTGCTTTTGCCATGTTGGAATTAATGATGGTTTTGGCATCTATAGAGGAAGGAGTGACTTGTGGTGATTCTGGAAGTAGCTCTCGTAGAAACTTTGCAAGGGCTTTTTCTAGGTGGTAAGTGGGATGTGACCTTTTGTTTACTAATGATCGTAGTGGCCAGTTCTCTTTATGCATTTCTGGCTGAAAAAATAGCCTAGGGCATGCAACGTTGGATAGAGGATCGAGGCGTCCTGTTAGTGTCAAGGCTATTCTTGGAAGTGCTATGATTTTCTTTGCTCTTTGCAGTACTGCTGGTGTTGGGTCACTGTTTATCTCCACAGAGCGTGATTGTAACAGAAAATCATTGGCTCTAGTGATGAAGTCATTTTCTCTGCACAAAGCAAATCTTTTGTCCTTGTCCGATACTAAGAGCCTAAGATCGTTCTTGGCAAGGAATTTCATTACTGCTTGGTGGTTTTTGCAACTATTTGGTGTATCAGATGTGCTTTGTTGTAGCAAGTTCTGTGATGACTTCTAACTCTATATGCTGGTACATGGGTGCAGTCTGGCAGGCTTTTAAAGCTGCTAAGGCGGCTGGGACTAACTGGTCAAATACTTTTTCTTGCGATATATCTAATAATAGACAGATGTCATCGTCTCTCGAAATACAATATTTTTTTATTTCGCTGTTGATAGCCCGACACGTGTTCCGCAGCTATCTTGTATTTTCTTGCGTGCGCGGTGTTGTGGGATCTCTCTTATGACTGGATCTAGTTTCCAGAACTCTCTTGAGTCAATGGTGATTGAACCTCGTTTCAGTCAAGATTGAAACGGTCCTGGTAGGTCGCACCAAGGCAAATGGGGTATAAGGCTCTAGTTTAGTAGTGTTACAGAGTATAATATGTATATTTTAATATATTTTTTAAAAGAAACAAGATCACTGAGAAATGTTACGTGTGTTTAACAAGGTTCGGAANTCTTAGCCTGATGATGGCCAATAGATTTGGCTGAAAACATTTGCTTTTCATTAAATTTTTCTCTGCAAATTAAGGTGTTGTGTTTTTGATTTACCCAATTACTTTTATTACCAAACACAGAACTTCTTATCTTTGCAATGAACTGAAATTAATTTTTAAATAAATTACGAAAATTTCATTATGAAAGAAATTGTTGTATAAAACAAGAACTTTAACCAATGGTACAGTTCTATTTGAGATTAAAAAAAACTATTCAAATAATTCCAATATTTTTCAATTACAAACCAATTTAAATTATTACATTTTTATACTTTCTTCAATAATTCAAATTCTTTAAATTCATTATTCTGACAATGTACAGGTACATTGAGAGAATCTCTGAAAATAAATTAGTTAAATTATAGCAGTAATCATTCTTCTATTTCTAATAAAGCAGTTCCATTGATAAGTGTGTTTTATATTTTATAAATCACAAACAAACACTAATTCTTTTTGCCTCTATGTCCTTACTTTTATTGATTTTTGATTATATCCTTGTCTACTTTGAACCTTGTTTATTTTCACCTGTAAAAATGAAGATATTTTGTTTTGATTTTTCCAACTAAAATCTGCTCTTTTTGCTAAACAGAAACCATACCAGTGTAATAAGTCCTATTAATAAACAAAGTCCAAAGTAGCCAAAAATATAATCAAAAATCACAAACAAACAACTTTCTTTTCTGGCAAAACAACATTTTATTTGTCTAATGTTTTTGGTCTCTTTGACAGACCTTCCTCAAAATATTTTAAAAGTCATCTATTATCTATTCTCACAATAATTTTAAAATTCTATAATTTTGTTATGATTTTAAAAATCTAAATTTCTGCACATTTATTCATTCACTCACATATTTTTGATAAATTGTCCACATGATATATTCTGCACATCTCTATAGCTCATCAATGTATCATTTCATGTTAATTATAACACATTAACAATCTTTTGTTTTAATGCTTTACAACAAATTCTAACAGGAATTCATATGGACTCAAAGATTATTATTATTTCTGGTAAAAAATAATATACAGCAATCTTTTAAAATTAAACAATTAAAAATTTTACTTACCGCATATAAAACTTTGTACAACTGTCATTCGATTAGTAGTGAGTGTTCCAGTTTTATCAGAACAAATAGCTGTGGCATTACCCATTGTTTCACAAGCATCTAAGTGCCGCACAAGATTATTGTCCTTCATCATTTTCTATGTAAAAATTTTTGGTATTAAACAATGTCATTTCATATACTCAATTTATAAAATCTATCATTTAATAATTACAACAATAATAAAATATTTTATATGAAAAATAATATGTTGCAATTCAATTTTTCACACACAATTCAAGTCTATTAACAAACAAAAATCCTAATTCAACATTCCAGTTAACATATAAATCATCATACTATCACATACAATATATATAATTGACAATTTAAAAAATAGTTAGATAAATATAGTTAGATAATAGAAATAGTTAGATAAAAATGGTATTTACATATTTGTGTGTGTGTGTGTGTGTGTGTGTGTGTGTGTGTGTGTCCACAGTATATTGAAGTCACAAAATTGTCTCTTTTTTGTCTGTACTGATGGCCATCAGTACAGACAAAGAAAAGGAGTCCCTTTGGGAAGTTCCATGTCAGGACTTTTGTGTGAGCTTGTATTGAGAAAATCGGAAAAAAGTGCTCTTTCTGTTTTCTTAAATGACATTGTCTATTTTAAAAGATACGTTGATGATGTCTTGGTAATTTGGAAGAATGACCAAAAAACTGATGAGTGTATTAACATGATCAACAACAACAATGATGGTCTCAGGCTGAAGATTGAACAGAAATGTGTCTCACGGATACATTTTTTAGATGTTGACATTGAATTTAAAGAAGGACATTTGGCCACTAATGTGTATGTAAAACCGACGCATAGCCCTCTGTACATTCCGTCCCACTCTAATGATCCTTACCAATACAAAATGGCTGCCTTTCGTGCCCTTGTCCAAAGGGCCTTTCTCTATTGCACTAGTGCATTGGATAGGCAAACAGAAATTAATAGAATATTACATGTTGCGAGATCTCTAGGGTACAGAGAAGATATAACAACAACATTGATCAGAAAATACAAAATAAACAAAACTAAGGCTCAAAACGGCGATTTCGGCAAAGTTCAAAGTTCACTTATGATAGAAAGAGAGAAGCCATCATGAAGGAAATCTCAGCCCGCAAAAAGTCCAAGTTAATTTTCAAGAGAGCTCCTAACCTGTACAAATTATTAAGGAACAACAAAGACAGCATAGATAAAGAAAAAAGAGCAGGAGTATACAGGATTCCATATGAAAATCGTGAACTAGACATTAATAAAAGTTATATTGGTGTCACTAATAGAAGTTTAGGAGTCAGATTAAAAGAACACAAATACAATATCAGCAAGGGATGTAATGCCACAATACTATCGCAATTGGCGCAAGTTGAGGGCTCAATTGTCAAATGGGATGAAGCAAGTATTATTAAACCAATACATTCACTGACATTGGTGATTTGCGCCGAAAAAATTGAAATATATAAGAGCAGATTGCATGATGCATGCATTAATTTCTAGAGATTCTGAAGGGTTGCCTTCGGCCTAGAAATACTTAATCAAATGATTAGACAGCTCTTAATTTAATGCTTTGATTTTAATATTTTTTTTGCATATCTTGCATTTCATTGAATTTTATATAATGTATTATTATATAACGTTTTAATATTTAGTTAACCTATGCTTATTTTTTCATATACATATTTTGTTATTTATAATAATAATTTTTATTTTATTTTTCTTTATACATCTATATACAGTGAAAACTGCTTAGGCGACCACCTGCATTCGACGGGCACCTGTCAAAACGGGCAAAAATTTCTGGCACAGAATAGTTTATCCATAGAGTCTTCGTATAAGTTACCTGTATTAAACGACCACCTGTGTAACGCGACCGCGGGCATCGATTTTTGGTCCGAAACAACATACAACACCT